GTCAATATCTATTTTTGTTTGAATCTGACTGGTCTAGAAGGTTGTGTACATCCAAATCCTTGAACAGTTTTGACACTAAATTGAAAATGACTCTGAAGGATTGTCAAAGAAAACTTTAAAAGATGGCTTTATAAAATAATTAAAATAGTAGATAAGCTGGAAACCACTCTGCTTCGCGTCGTGGTTTCCTACGTTTATCTCGTGTTCTCCCAACCTCCCGCGTGTTTTACATCAGGCTATGTAAACACGGAAACCATTTTACATTTCTTCATTGTAAAATCAAGTTCAATCCAAAACTCTCACCAGTACTGCTGGAATGTGTTGACTTTGGATGCTGAAAAATCTGTCATACCTGACAACTGTCTCAAAGAACTGAAAGGGAATGGAAAACATATCGAACAATTTGTTAAATTAAAAAGATTATATTCATGCCTATCAAGATTGAAAACGTACAAAAATTTTAAAAAAAATGTTACCATTTGAGCCACCGAGGAGTGGTTGTAGTAAGACACATTACTGGTCACCAACTGTTAGAAGAAATGATCAATTGATCAGTGAGGCAGACTTAATCAAACATTTAAGGCTGTAATAACACGTATTTTATCCTCTTGCTTCTGTTTTTCAGCCAGCCAACCAGGCAGTCAATCACTTGTCATTCACTCAGTCTGGCTGTCTGTAAGTCTGGTTCTTAGTCGAACAGTCAGTTCCTCAAGAAGTGAGTGAGTCAGTAAGTGTGTCTGTCAGTCTGTTTATTAATCCACTTACTCACTATTCAGTCACTCAGGTGGTCAGAAACTCGATGCAAGTCAATCAGTCAGTCAGTCAGTCAGTCAGTCAGTCAATCACTCTGTCTAAATTACCCTGTCATCCATCTGTCTGTCCACCTAACTGTCCAGTCCATGCACTGCCGCAAGAAAAAAATAACCTACCAAACTCATCATTTGCTGAAGCGCTGAAAACTTTGAGGCATCAGAGTACAATTGTTGGGTCTGTTGATAAAAGAATAATTACCCAAAATGTGGTCTACAAACATTTTGTAACATCTGTACCTCACCCTCTCTAGCATTTTACTATCTGTAGCAAAAATATTAACAATAACAAAGCAGAAAGTATTTCAGATCAAACTAAAAGAGCCCCCTTACCGACATTGCTTCTCCAACCATGTAAAGAACCCGCACAGCTATCTCCACATCCATAAACTTGGCTGCATCTAATTGCCTGCTGAAAAAAAAAATTGTAAGTTTAAGATAGCCAGTCTTATTTCAGCCACCGCTGTACCTAGAATTGAACTTCCTTAACCCTTTAACTCCCATAGTGACCAAGACAAAATTTATCCTAACAATATCAATACAATATCAACCAGATAAGGGATGAGAATAAAGAAAAATACCAATTTAGGAATAATTAATTGATCCAATACTAAATTCTCTGAACTAACATTACAAGAATTGTATGGTTGAGGGTAAGGAGAATTACAAATTTGATCTGGACTTTGCACCCCAACAATAGTGTGTTTTATTCTCCATAATGTTTCCTATACAGCACATTTCCTGTGGTTCTTGAGAGCCGAATTTGTTTACCAATCAAGAGCAACTTAAGTTGGTAGTTGTTTTCCACTCTTCTTATGACCACAAATTTGTTGCTCTTGGGTGTAGAACTGTCAGGAGAAATAATTGCGTGAGCCACTCTAAGAGATTAATGGGTTAATCTTACCCAAACGTTGAATTCAAAATATTGTGAACCGAGACCAGCACGAGATTAGGGTCCTAAAAGACATACAAACAAATAAATATTTAAAAATTAATCCTCCAAGTTTAAATTCTGTGAGAACTACTTCAAATAATACTGTTGCACTAACATACCAGCTGAGCAATATTGTCAAATAAGATCTTCATTTCCTTTCTATATTCCATGAACATCACTTCATCTTCACCCTGAAAGATGCAATAGTCGTCGTCTTCATAATGAAAGAATTTTGGAAAAATATCTGGTGATGTACATTTGAGCCTCACATTTACACATTTAATAAAATTGTATGAAGACCTTTACCTCATGATCAAAGTTGTATGATTCATCATACTTCATCTTGTTGATAATGACATGCAAAATTCCCTAAAAATATTCCACAAAAAAAAACCAATCAGACTTACAGTATTACTTGCAAAAAGTTTCCTTGAAAGTAAGGCTTGGAGGAAACAATCAATTGAAACTGTACATGCATTTTCTTGCATTTGCCTTCCCACTCTCAATATATGGTAGAAGCTGCCAACTCAAACTCCCAGGGGAAACAAAAAATGGTTTGAGTCAGCAGGGGTTTGAGTTAGCTGATGGTAAATGACAGAAATAATGGATCAATGGAAATCTGACCCTCTGCTTGTTACCCAGGGGTTTGAATTAGCACGGTTCCACTATAATGCTCTAAGTTAAATCAAGTTCATTCATTGTTCACAATTAAAATCATTCTCAACCAACAGGTATCTGCATTCCACCCTTTAAAAATCTTGAAAATCAAATTTGAAGAGCTTCAATCTTACCCTTAGGTTTTCTTTCTGTTGTTCACTTGGATTTGCAATCTGAAAGAAATTTTAAGTCATTATGAACAGCTTTGGAATAATGATCATTGTCATTAACTTTCTCAAATGGTCGTTGATTGACCAAAATCAAGCAGTATTCACCAACTTACAACTGATGGTGCCTGATCTCTTTATTTTCAATCTTTGAAGTTTATTTAATTCATATCTGCATGCTGAAACTGATCCTGCTGATTTACATTAAAAATGTCACACTGCAAAGTGCATGCTGCATGTTCTGATGAGGAAACAAGCGTCAAAGGTGTGTGTAAGTTACTTGGGTGGTTGTGACTCCACTCCATTAAGGAAAGGCTAGCCTGCAAACAGGCCCTTTTAATTAATGCAGCAGAATGCTTGTTTCTCTGCCCATGGTAAGATTTTAGACAAGTCAGGAGAGGTTTGCTGGAGGACTGTCAATAATTATCAGTGCAAGATCCCTTGTTGACCTCTTACAAGCTCACATTGCTCAAAGTCCTCATGGTATCTGAACGACTTGTGCCAAAGTATGGTCATGCTAAATGCAGGCTAGGGGAAAGGCAGTAATTTACAATACTGAGCCAAGCTTGCATGTTTTCAAACACTTATTGGACACTGAAGTAGAACCTCCCCCCACTTGTTGAAGTGCCTGCTTATCCCCCAGTGTTTCCAGTTAAATTACCTGTTTCAACACAGTCAAGTAAGTATATCCAAAACCAGACACATTCTGGGACACATCATCATCATCATGACTAAGAAATCTGCAAAGAAACAACTGATATTATACAGAAAAAGAAATGGAAAGACTGAAGACTGACAATAATACCACATCTGTTTCATTTAAGAAATTAAATGAAGACTTGAATTTTTCAGAGAACCTTGATGCCATGGAGTACGAAACAGTATTTGTGAACCATCAGAGATGGCTGACAAAATCCTGAGGCGAAATGAAGGCAACACATAAACTGAGGTTTTTGCTGCTCTTTCATAAATGTTATAATATGCACATTTGTTTTGTGAGTAGTGTAGTCTTTTTATTCGGAGCTACTGGAGTAGAACTGAAGTTGGCATGGTTTAGCAAGGCCTCTTTGTTTTTTCACTTCCTGTCCAGATTTTTGCCCTGTTCTACAGTGTAATACTGTGGTATATTTTGAGCATTCCCATGCCCAAATATGTTGAAATCAGATGGTGTAATGGTGGAGTAATAAAACACATTATACAATACATTAATTTGCCAAATTTAATGACATTCCTAAAGGAATGACAAGCAGCACTGCAACAGTCACTTACCTAAACAGGTATTGCATCTTTTTCTCAGCAGCATAGAGGCACTTGGCTGCAGATTCTGTATCACCAGACTTTGTAAGCCTGAACAAGAAGTAAATCCTCCATAATTACAAAAAAATTACCTGAACGTAAACTACAGAACAGAGATCATGAAGAGGGAAATGCTTGAAGGCTCTTGTCTTGTAAATCTGGGGGGCCCAACTTTTTAAGGGGCTCTTAAAAGCAAAGTCACACCAGTTTACAAAAAAAAAAAAGTTGGTAACTTGTGGCACTAAGCTCTGTAGAAGCATGGTAGTATAAATGTGAACTACAGCTGAAAAGTGAGACACATGAGAGAGAAAAAGCCAAACACTAGGCAGAAAACTGAAAAATGGGTGGGAGAACCAAAAAACTTTTACAAGTGATTAGTAAAAGTTAATGGTTCATAGATCAGAAAGAAGAGAGTGAAGAGAAAGGAGAAAATAGAATAACATCAGGAGAAAGAAGAAAGGAAAGAAGAACACCTAATGATGTTGTCCAGCTCTGCTTTTAGACAGTTGTTTCTTACTTGCTGTAGCTGTTGAGAAGTTGTGTTCCAACAGCATTCATCAATTTTGACACTTTAGCTAAAAAATCAGCATCTTCATCCTGAAACATAAACAGAACACTCTTTATAAAGGATGTTAGGAATTCTTAGGGTATACATGAGGCAACAGATGTCTAAGAATTCTCTGGCAACAATACACAATTTTCCCCAAGGGTCATTTGATAAAAGACTTGGAAGACTTAAATCTTCAGTGAATTACTGATAAATAATACCATAAAATATTAGCAGATTACCTCTTGCAGCTGAAGGACTCCGCTTTTTTCTAAAACACTGACAAGAGACTCTATGAGTTCTCGCTTGGCAACTGGCTCCATTCCCTTCATGATGATCTCGTGGATACAATCACAAGCACTCTCACGGAGGACTTCCACTGACATGTATCTAAGAAGGGCACTAGGAAATAACAATACAGTAGAAACAAAATTCAATAATTATATCATTTAAGAAGAGACACACGGGATGGACATCTCTTTCAATCAAATAGTGGTTCATTGTCTATATCAAGTTACCCTAAAAAATGCTAATACCCATTTCATAGCTCTCAAGGCTTCACACTCATAACCATTTCATGACCTTACAATACAACATAGTCACCACAAATTGTGCAGGATTTAAGTATCATTTGGTGTAAAGGTCAAAATTTTTGAAAAAATTTTGTAAAATTTTTAGTCAATCTTAATAATTCTTACATTTTAACACTGTCTTATAATTTACATTGTATTTTATGTGGGAAGGTCCTCCTTAGAGATAACCTCTCATGTTTCCTTTATAAATTATAATAAAAGCATGATTTGATTTGATTTGCATTGGTCACAATCTTTTGTATCAGAGAAAATGACAACCCATTGACAACCCATTGTTAATACTATACAACTTGTACATGAAATAAATGATTACTTCACTTAAAATATCCACAAAAAAAGAAAAACGAGACTAAGTAATAAAACCATACAGCTTGCTACATGAACTTGAACACTGGATGTCATATTGGCAACTTGCCACACCTCATGACTTAAACTGTCACAGCTAGGAGGGCTACCTCCTGGTGGAGAGGGGGGAGAGGAGGAAGTTAAGTGACTCATCCAAGAACAGAGCAAACTACTTGCTGGCCAAGAGTCACACAAAGAGCTCCTTGTAAAAAATCCAGCATGCTAGTCACCACAGTCGTTGCAAACAATAGGAGGATTGATCTAACTTTCCTATGAACACCTCCCTTGTTACTAATACTAGATGTACATAACCACCGCATCAGTTGGTGTTAACTCTTTGACCACCAATAGTGACTAGCATCTAATTTCTCCTTACATCATCAGCCCAAAATCAAACATTTATGTCACAAGAATAAAGGAAATGATCACCAACTGAGGAAGCTCTTAATTTTAAGATGTTGACAAATTCTCCTTGTCAACATCTTAGGAAATGTATCGAGAAGAGTATCGAGAATATGAATACTGATGTTAGGATATAAAAGGTTAATGGAAAAGGAGAGGGGACTGATTACACTTTGTGATCAAGCAGACCCAAATGACTGTTCTCACCTTATAAATCTATCATTTGCTATCAGGCCAATATCAATCCATTCAATGTAAGCTCCAATAACATCCAGGCATAGGCACATAACTGATGATAAACTGTTCTCGTAGGTATTCTGCTAAAGAATAGTAAGATCAGATTAGTTTTGGCTGAATGTTAAGGTTACACTGTGCTAGCTGTAGAACCGTTTTTGAATAAATTATTAACTACTTTTCTTCCACTGTTCTGTTGAGATGTCATGTCATGTTATACAAAACAGAAAACATACCAAGATTTGATACCAAGAGTCCACAAGATTTGTGATGCAAGTCTCTCTGATAGCATCTTTGATCTTCATGTTTCTGTCAGCCTCCTATTAAAAAGAACAAAAATGAAAAAAGAGAAAAAAAGCATTTATATTTGAATTTGAGCTGATTATCGTTCAATTTAGACACACACACACCTGCTGATTTCTTGTTACATCTCTGTCAACTACTTCCTCGTCAATGGCTTTCAAAATCCTCAGATACATGTCTACTGCTTTGGCACCAAACTGCAAGCACTGAAGAAGATCTGAGAAAAATGTTGGCCACTGAAAGAAATTAAAAATTGCGAGCATGAAGATTAGATTAGGAAGGACTTTGATGCAGCAATATACCAGGAACCTGTAAAAGGCAAAACTTGCCAATTGAGTAATTTTCAATTGTGCATGGAGTAATTGTGGAGAGCTATCAAGCCTCATGCAGTAAGTGCCAGGTTCTCGCAAATGAATGCAGTCTTATGCTATCATGCTGACATGTTGACTGCATGAATAAAGAATAACACTCAGAATAAAGGAATACATGTCTTAGCTATGTGATTTTTTTTACAATTTTTTGGAGGAGTATGCTTCCATATCCTCCTTCACCCAGGAAAAGGTAGCACCCTCGGCCACACACTTGAAGGCTATGCAGTTGAAAATCTCTTTGGCAGCAAATCAACTTGAGAGCCCTATGTATATAGAGTTTTGTCAACATAACTGCCATCCTGGCAAAGCTGGTGTGCAAGAATCACACTTTAGCCATGCTTGACACAAAGTTGCATTTCAGAAATCCAAATTAACAATACCAGACATTGGTAAATGTCAATTATCACATGACCCATACAGCCCCATGCATGCAATCCCATAGGAAACAATAGCAAAAGCTGATAGGCTAGTGGTTATATGATACAATGCTTATTGACCGAGTTGGGTCAGGGCCGGATGGGAAAATACTTGGCTCTTGTTCATGACACATGTACCTTGCTGCATGCGGTCTATACATCCTGATATTGAGCCAGATATTCTCCTTTCTGGCTTTTCCACTCAGTCAGTAAGCACATATAATTATTACTCAATTACTTACCCCTTCAGGATAGTCACAGACAAAAATTAAACTGAACACTTGAGCAGCCTTGTTCTTCAAAAAGTTTTGATCATCTGTTTTACTACAACACTGATATGTAAAAACACAAGTATAAGCTCAGTTCTTAACCCTTTAAACCCTAAGAGTGACCAGCTTCTTATTTCTCCTTACAGTAAAACTGCTACATCATTCAAGATCAAGAGAATGGAAGAAATGATCACAAAGCTAACAAGCTTTGATTGTCTTGGACAAGTTCTCCTTGGTAATAACAAAGCAAATGTATAGAGTGGAGCATAGAGACTATGGATACTGATGTTAGGATGTACATATTCATGGTAAGAGAATTTTTGGTGTCTAATTCTGTCTGTGATCGAACTACTACATTGTAAGTCCTATCACAATTAGCATGAACACAACACAATTTGAAGTTCACTGTAAAAGCCTCTTGGCCACCCTATCTCCCTTTATAAAGCTGCATTACTGATTACTTTAAAGATTTGACTTAACACCCTAGATCCAATAAGTGCCCCCTCTCTAAGAAGCCCCTCCTTTAGATAAGCACCCCTATTCTAATAGGGGCCCCCCCCCGTTGCTGAAGCTCCCACATTCTGATAGGTATCTTTATTCTGTTTCAGTGACGGCACTGCTAGAGTACATTCCCTACTATTATTATGCAAATATTCAGGGTATGTTAGTTCCTTTTACAGTTTTTGCTATTGATCCCTCTTAGATAAATATCAAAGCTTTGTTTAGCATGTCTGCTGTTTCTCAAACAAGAAATAAACACCCTGTCCCAGATAAGTGCTTCAAGTCAGCTTTCTCGATCCCAGAATTAAAATGAGTAAAAAGTGCCCCAGGCACTAAATCAAATCCTTACTGTGATTACTTAGATATTGCAAGAAAAAACAAATACCTGATTTTTAAGCCATGTTAAAAGAATATTTCTTGCTGTACACTGATTTAGTGGTGAGGCTGTTGCATGTCTTTGAAGAGAAGGTGACAGGATTGTAAGCAAAAAGTTTTTTTTTAACTTCAGCACTACATCAGTCAATAATTTGAAGTTAAAAACTGATGGACTAGGAGCAAATTCTCCCAGATTATGAGAGCTGCATGTTGCCATTCATTCAACCCTTTCACTCATAATATCTTAATGAAAATTCTCTTTAGTGTCTACCACACACTCATTATAAATTTTGTTCTGAGAATTTGGTATTGGATCAAACCAGATCACCAGTGCTAACTCATACCTTGTTTTAATATAATGCTCCAAAACTTGGAAGCAGAAGAACTTCACAGTTTCATCGCTGAAAAAAAAATTTTCATCTTCAACATCATTTCAGTACTCATGATCACAAGTAAGAGGCAAACAAATATCAGGGTCCAGCCTATAGAGGTCGGATAACACTATCCAACAGATAAATCACTATCGGGTAGATAACTGATAACAAAACGCATGGCATTTATACTGGTCATACAAGGGGGCAAGTTTCTAAAGAAACTGTGGTGCTGCATTATTGAGAGAATATAACAAGGCAATACCAGTAAATCAATAAAGGTAAAGTTTGTACTCAAGCCTATTGGTCCACCCAGTCAGAGCTTATTCTGGTTTCCACATAGCATGAAGCCGGAGTACTACTACTTCCCCCTGGATGGGATGCTAGTCCATCCCAAGGTTACCTTCCCAGCATTTCATCAGGCTTCCCTGACAATTTTCCGATACCTTTTTATACTCCTGGATGGAGAGGGGTATTGTGAGAGAACACAACACATTAAGCCCCCCAGGTCTTGACCCAGACCTCTTGACCCAGAGTCCAGTGCACTGACTATAAGGCCACTTTGTCTCCTGGTAATTCACCCCTGTAACTCCCAGAAGTGATTAACATGTAACTTCTCCCAATGATATCCCTACATTATCCCACAAACAGGTAATGAGAATACTTAAACTTATCAGGTAGAGATTGTTATCTTGATTTAACACCAAATTCTTTTAACTAATTGACAAGGAAATGTATAGCAGCCAGAGGGGTGAATTGACAATCAGATCTTGGGAATTATAGGGTTGACCAAAACTACATGTATGATAAAATTCAAGAAAAAAACCTAGCCATTGCTTCTATTTTTTCATGAGAAAAGGAAAAAAAAAACCAATTAACTCAGTAAATTGCATGACAAAAGTACATGCATAATATGTATCTAGTCTAGTCACAACCTTTACAAATTCCTCAAACATTATTGGTGCAATTGCAGCTTCATTTTTCACTAAATCATACTGAATAGTTGTGATTGGACAGTTGGCTGTAATCAAACAGTTCAAGTAACCAATCATACTTAGTCTACTTGGCTAATCCACCAATCACAGAAATGATCAAAATAACCATAGTAACAACCACTTACCCAATGAAAAACTGGGGAATTTCCATAATGAAGGAATTTATAACAAAAGACATTGTCTCCTCTGGAGATATTTGTTTTAGGTGTATTTGTTTTTTCAGAAATTGAAATAGTTATGATTAATTGGGAACAGGACTGTCCAATTCTATTAATCATATTACAGACCAAATTGAACTCCACTGGGTCCTCTTACCATTATAAATTACACAGGCATGATGCGCACACTGTCCAATCACAAGCATTACATGCACAGTGTCCAATCAACCCTCAAATCAGGCTGGTGATAACCGATCACATTTTAAATTTTGTTATAGCTTTGATTAATCTGTTACTCCCTAGCATCAATATGCATATTCTCCATTCTACTCCCTAGACATTTCCTAAGGTTCTGATAAGGAGAATTTGTTAAAAAATCAAGAGCTTCTTTAGTTGGTGAAAATCTCCTTTATTCTCATGCCCTTTATGTTTGATTCACAGGTGATGTTGTTAGGAGAAATTACATTTAAATCACTCTTAGGGGTTAAAGGGATAATCCAGAAGTTGCAAAGCCCCAACTGACCTTCCCCGCCCCTTCCCCTACTACCAATGTACAAGTACGAACTCCAGCTTCAACGAAAGACTCATTTTTTTTTCACAATATTATTTTCTGAAATGAGGTATTACAATACGATTAATTAAAGCCGCCAAAAATTTCTTTCTTTGTTATGGGTAAATGAACCGAAAGTGTTGATATTTCAACAAGTGAACTGTTTAACATGGAGATTAGAAACGACTGGCAAGTTCATTACAAATTGTAATTAAAAGACCGCATACCTATAAAGATTTCGAACCAAAGCATCACCGCAAAGTTTCCATCCATCTTCAGAATTTTTCAGCTGTTCAAAATATTGCAGGGCCTAGAAAAAAATTGGGAGCAAAGTTTTGAACAAACTAGATTGAAATAATTTCTCTAGAATAAACGTTTATTGCACCGAATGATATCTTTGTGTTAAAAAAATGTAATTTTGACGGCTTTTTGGAAAATTGCCACCAAAGATTTAGCATGGAGAGTCAAAATACTTACCTCAGCTTGTGATGTGGAATTTGCGGCCGATTGCAGACCCTGTAGCAAATTTTCAGCCATAACGCATACAAAACTCACGGCAGTAGAAATCCGCAGTATTCCTCATGGGAAGCAGTTCACATCGTTAATTCGCTCACTGATTAGTTTGGCGGAAGGAGAAATTTGTCGCGATTTTATTGAAATCCTTAAAGGTTAAAGATTTGAACGGTTTCGGCATCAACACTTCACATTTCGGAGATATTCTACATCAAAACACAAATCGCTATCACATGTAAGAAACCACGTTGCAACACTCTGCAACAGTTAGGACCGTTATTAGGTAGCATCATGGCACATCTCAAAAAACGAGCCTTTTCACTACTTGATCCTCATCGATATAATCTCATACTTTCAAAACACACCCGAAAAACTAGAAATATTTAGGTTAAGTCTGGAAATAAAAATACCTAGTTTTTAAACTAAAACACGCGTAAAATTGGCGATGAGACTGTCATAAAGAAACCTACTTAATACCTAGGATCCGAATTACGATACTTACTTCAGCTCTTACAAAATTTGCGCCAATCTTAAAACGAGGGGACTGTTGCGGAATGATCTTTTGAGCAGGCGCAGTAAGCTGGCTCGTGATCTTCGGTGCTGCACCTTCCCGTACCTCGTGAAGTTTTCGCGCTCGGTTACCTCTCCAACCTCAGTCTTTCTTCAGATTAGGGATTTTCAAGCATGGATGAAGAATATGACTGTATCGTTCTTGGTACAGGACTCAAGGTTAGTGCTTAAACATCTCGAAAGTGAGGAAATTTACTTCTTGATGTGGCCCTTTAAGCCATGGATCCAGTTTCACACCCATTTCCTTTCCCAGCAATCTCTATGATATTCGCTGTAAGAATGAGATTGGGCCGGTAAGGATTTATTAGGAGAAGTTACCTTAAAATTGTCGGTACTAAGGCAAATTAGGACTTTCCATCCAGTATTGTATATCCTAAACGTCGTTGGGGACACATTGAATTCAACAAATCCTCGATTGGACATGAAATTCAAGCCCTACACCTTTGAAACGATGAAGCAAAAGTGTGGATGTTTCTTTACCCTGATCTCAGTTTTGCAATAATTTTTTTGCAGTTTTAATTACATAATAACCTTATTACTACGTTTTCAGATTTTTCCTGTATATTATCATTTTCGAAAATCAGTATAGCGTCAACACTAACGCTATAGCACAGCTGCTTTTGCATTTCCTCTTTTCTTTTCAGCCATTGTTATGTAAACATTATCTGCAGTACATCTATGTCTCTTAAAAACTGAACCATTAAACAATAATTTTGGACTTGTTTACCTTTGATCACCTCTGAAACTTTGTGGAGGTCATGAAAGAACTGTGATAACCCAATTTGCAGAGGACTGAAGTGATTCAGTAGTTTAATTCAAGATGGTAATTTGTTACACTCAAATCAGTTATCTCTGGTGATGTCTTTAACCCTTCCTTAAAAAAATGAGATTATCTTATCTTAAGCAATTTCCTTTTAAACATCTTGATGATACTTTAGTGACCATTTTTTTTCTAAGAAAGATGTTCTCCAGAGTACCCCCACTTGCTGCCTCCTCCCAGTATTAAGTGTTATTATGGTTGGTCTGATCACTGATCATTTCAGACACTCACTATCAACCCTTGAACTCCCATAATGAGTGACCTTAACAAAATTTCAGCAGACATTATCAATATTATATAAAGAAGACAAGTGATGAGAATTACTAAAAATATCAACTAGTGGATTTTTAATTGATCCAATACCAAGTTCTCTGATGAAACACCATAAGAATTGTTTGACAGGTAGTAGGGAGAATTACTGAGAAGATCTTGGGAGTGTAAGGTTAACAAATTCAAGTTACCAATTGCAATATTCTTGATTGTATTTTCTGTAATTCAAATTGCCAACATCATCATCATTATTATTATTGTTGTTTTAATTATTATTATTTCTTGGAATAGTGTTAAATTTTGAATACTTGAAATTTTACAAACCCCTTTGATAACATTATGTACTAATGAAATTTAATTTGTATTTAATAGGAGTGCATATTAAGTGGATTTTTGTCAGTGAATAAAAAAAAGATTCTTCACATGGACAGGAATCAATATTATGGTGGGGAAAGTGCTTCAATCACACCACTGGAAAAGGTATAATGCTTTTAACCCTTAAACTTGGTTCTACCTATATTCATTGTGTTTAGTGTCTTTCCTTGGTTCAAGTTTCCTTTGTTGTTAGAATGGTAATTTACAATACAGGTTTGAGGTAAATTTAGGATACAAAGAAAAATTACACTTGGATGTCTCTTAACCCTTTCACTCCCACAAGTGACCAAGACAGAGTTTCTCCTTACAATATCAATACAATATCAAGCAGGCAGGTGATGAGAATAGAGAAGAATATTTATTATGGGATTATTAGTTGATCCAATGCCAAATTCTCTGAACTAACATCATAAGAATTGTATGGCAGATAGTAAGGGGAATTACTAATTAGATCTTGGGAGTGAAAGGGTTAAAAGGGACCCCTGTATCCATTTATGACTGTTCAACTGTATTATCTCTTTGCACCCTAACATCAGTATAGATATTCTCCATACTGTTCTCTACACATTTCTTAAGGTGCTGACAAAGAGAATTTCTGCAACGATCGACAGCTTCTCTAGCTGCTGATCATTTCCTTTTTTTCTCATAACCTTACTGCATGATTCAGGGGTAATATTACAAGTAAAAAAAAAATTTAATGCTAGTCACTCCAAGGAGTGAAAGGGTTAAATAACAGTCTCTTGTTCTTTTTAGTTCTATGAACTGTTTGGAAAAACTCCTAAACAACTAGGATCATCAAAAGATTGGAATATTGACCTCATTCCCAAGTTCTTGATGGCGCAAGGTATGTACATGTGTAGCCTATGTGAAGATGATAAGATGGACTAAATGAGTATTTCTCATGCAGTGCTCAAAGCAAGAATTTTCCTTACCATATTTATTTGATTAAATGCCACAGTGTTCATTAAATTTTTTGGGATTCAAGTGCAGCATTTATGTTAGGGTGGTATTTATACAAGGGTGGTGTTTATTTGAAATCCAATTTATTCCTTGCGAACAATAGTATGGTAACTGACCACTTTCATTTTAAAAACCAGAAACATGTTTTAGTGTTTGTCTTAAAAGTAATTTTTTTATATTGTTCTAAATTTCAGAATTTGCATGTTAATACTACTGCAATTCATACTGAATAGAAAGATCTTGTGTTGGATATGTTTTATCAACATTAGAACTGGTACATTCAAAAGGATTTGTGTCTGGTTCACTCAAAATTTTAACTGCAATCAAGGCAATGATTGTTGTGTGCTTTTTGAGTCTATTATGGGAATAAACACCACATGATGATGTGGTGTTTATTCAAAGGCAGCAGTTATTAATATTTCTGCTCTAAAATGCAGCATTTATTTGAGGAAGGCATTAATCAACTAAATATGGTATGTCCCATTCTGGCCTTTGGACAAGTACACTGTAAATAGATCAATGTCATTGTCTAAGCAACAACCCACCTACCCCTTCCCTTACCCAAAAACAGTCAACTGATAACAAGTTAAGGGTTACTGTTGGGTAAGGGGAGGGAAAGGTTCACAGTTGCCCAGATACTGACATTGATCCAAGTAAATTATACAATGGTTGCCAAGTAAATAATTATACAATGGTTGTCAATTGTAACATTTTTGGTTGTGTGTCATGAAAAAATAAATAGTGAAATTGATGAAAAAAAATATGTAGATGAGTAAATGAACGAATTTACCAGGAGAGAAATAGGAGAGAAATAAACTGTTGACCACACCTCATGTCTTTGAATTGAGCAAAGTGGTTGCACAACTAATCAAATCATACTTAGATGTGAACAGGACATCTCAAGGCTCCATGCTCTAACAACCAAGGTAAAGGAGGTAAATTTTTAAGAAGCAGGGCATGGTCAATATTTTAGACTTACAAACACTTGGTACTGTACCACTTGGGTGTACTGCAACATAGTCATAAGTGCTTGTACTTCATGGAAATTATGCAAGCTTCCAGTGGGTGTTCTTACACGTGTGCAGTAAGAAATTACATTGTAAGCCCATACAATGGTTTACTCATGAAGTCTTAGCTTGTGTTTGCCAAACACAGCTCACCAGTCAAGTGAAGTGGCTTCAAGTTTTTTTGTCACTATGCTTTTCCTGTCACAAGGCCTTTCAAAACGGTCACAATGAAGTACTGCAACATTTAGTGTTAACAAGTCACGTTGGTAGGTATAGCAGTCTTCTCACCCACAAGTCTTTTTGCTAATGACCTGTTCACTAACATGTTAGGTTCAATTCTGTTCTTAGGTGACCTGGTTAAATATTTGATTGAAAGTGGAGTTACCCGATACCTTGAATTCAAACAAGTAGAAGGAAGCTACGTGTATAAGGATAAAAAGCTTTTCAAAGTACCAGCAGATGAAAAAGAGGCTCTCGCAACCAGTCTCATGGGAATGTTTGAGAAAAGAAGATTTCACAAATTTCTTGTGTTTGCCAACAACTTTGAACCAGATGATAGTAAAACATGGCAAGGTATGGTAAATGTTTTTCCTTTTTTAATTTTATTTAATTGTTACCTGCTCCACCAAGCCCTACATTGAAGAAATGTAAAATGGTTTCCGTGTTTA